GGTAGTCTTCGGTTTTGAGAGGGGTTGTTCCGAAATTAAAATATCCTTCGTATCCGTAATGAGCGCAGATACGGGAGTAATGGCATACGATGGGCATACGCTTCCGTATAGGTTACACCTATGGGGACGCTGCCTGCGCCTCGTATGGCTCGAGGGTTGCAACCCCTTTACGGGGAGTCGTCCCTCGATAGGCGGCGGACATATGCCGAGATGTGTATTGTATTATTCACGGCACCCGTAAGATAATGTTACCATGATTTTTAATGCGATGGGGTTGGCTGACTGCAACACAGTAATGGGATTAGCTACGTTATTAGGGCGCTTTCACACCGTCCTAGGTGAGCCAGAGGCCGCCTCATAATACCGTAATAATTGAAGACTGACAGGATATATATTAAGCAACTTTAATAAGCGAAGATGTAAAATTAAAGAAGAAGGAAATATCAGACTCGATACTTATCACCAGCGACAACGTGAAGAGAAATTGAGGAGAAATTCAGAAGCACTATACTTCTCGGTATTCTATTCGATGTGCGCGAATTTGAAATTAATTATTAGGGATTAAATTTTAGGAATAGATTTGAATTGTTGAATCGAAAATACTGATGACCTTTTTTTACCGAAGGTTCAACGTCTGAGGTTATTTAAAGTAAAAAAAGAAACAATTAAGAGGCTTGTAATGTTACTTAGTAGTCATTTTGTCCATTTTTCTTGGATTTTAATTCTTTTTTAACACGATTGAACGAAGTTTAGGGGGAACATTCAAAGTGAGGCTTCGGTACGTTGATTTTTTTAGATTTTTGGGAAAGAGTTTCTAGAAACATTTTTAAAAACCTAAGCGGATCCAGGAGCTACATAAGGGCGTAGGAAGTTTATTATTAGGTGAAACTCTTGTAGGATCATTTTTCAGTGAAACTCTTTTGAAGTATCAAAAATGTCAAAGCAACTGGAGAGAATCTCGGAGTAGAAGTAAAGAAAAGAAAAAGGAAAAGTTTTCTTTCCCTTCATGAAGGTTTTACCTAAAAGAAATCGATTATTAAATCATTTTTCTGCGTGACAAACATCAAATGACGGCATGTAAATATTCTGTTGCACATTGCCATATTCTCATAAATCCAAACTTTCTCCGGCGTTGTTTGTTAACTAATAATTCATCTATGACTTTATATTTTTAAACGTCCCTTGGTGGAAATATATCTGACTTAAATAAATGTTTTCCGATAATAAAACTGAGTTTTATAACATGCTGATCACCAATTTCAACAAATATAAAAAACTAACGTACACAGTGAATAATATGTTGTTTACGCTATCATGCTGGTGTATCCGTAATTAACGTAGTAACATTGCGTACCCCTCCGCTCCGTAAACAAATGTTGACCATTGTTTAATAGAATCGAGGTACCCCCGGCTCCATAAACAAAATTCGATCGTTGTTTAATATAATTCTATACAGTCGATATTGTTGGGGAGACATACCTATATAATTTGAAGCCTGGTTGGGCGACCGCAATGCATCACCGAAGTACTGTACGCGTTGGTCTGGTTCGCTCAAATACGCAAATTACAATTATTTCACGATGTACTTGAATGGAAACGCGTATGCGTTCATTGCGTCGATGCGTTTGCGCGATTCCCCGTGAAAGCTTCATACGGTTCGTTCACTTAATAGCTTTATCCGGGAATTCAACCTGTAGAAATGGCTCACCGGCGAATATTAATTTTTCAATTTTTTGCTTTTAATTATTTTCCTTTATAATTAACACGGATATTAGCGAAAGATTACGTGTGACTAATAAGAGCTAATGTGTACTTAATTTTCATTTTCTCGACCGCAGTCACGTAAAATACGTTCACTTAAAGAACAGTGGCCTTTTTATGTAATTCTTTTTAATACAGTAGGAGCAGTATTCTTATGGAAATAGAAAAAAACGAGAGAAAAGAAATTCTATTAAAAATATGTAGAACAGCTAGTTAAAGCTGCTGAATCGTTGTATTATTTACTCTGGTTGATTGGAAAGGATTCTTGATTCTCGTTTTTTTTCAGTGCGTTTACAACGTTCGGTAGAAATTATGTTAGTTAACTTTGAAAAATATGCTTTCATCTAAGGGTTTCTATCACACTTCGATATTGCAAATATAGACACGATATGCGTAACAATTATTTTGCAAATTACTAGACGAGTCAAAAAGTTCAACGAAGCATCTTTAATTTTCAGCAAGGATGATAATTGATTAAGTCTGCAATGGAGTACATTCCCATTATACTTCCCCAGAATTAACAAATGAAAGAGTTGCAATTATTTATACTCACACTTCCAGTTGGCGCAAATTTCTCATGAATTATTTCTCATAAAATAGGTTTATGACGCAATGAACGTATCCCGCAATAATGACGTTCAGAAAATATGTCTAATTTCTAAAATTTAAGTTTAATCGTTATAAGATACTGAAAGAGCAGCTGAAATTAAATCAATCTTTTTTGGGGGAATTGCAGTTTTTATCGGATCATCCTCAAAAAGTTTTTTTATTTGTCGATGGGTTTTGTTTGCGATCGAGGGACGAAATTTCATTACTTTTGAGATAGTTGAAAGGAAACAATGACGAGGTCTTTTAGTAGTACATACTTTAACCAGCCGAGGGTCGTGACAGGTGCGTCTAACAAAGTCGTTCACATGAAACGTAACGTATGACGCAGCCGTAGTTGCCGATGATCGTCACGACGGATATATTCACCCGGTTTTGGACTAAACGTTAATTTTCCGCTCCGTGAGTTCTTGTGGGGAATATACATCGTCCATGACCAATGCACTTTGCTTAAAACGCTAATTTAAAAACGCACATATACGAAATTACTTATGCATCAGTGCACGCTATGGCACTTGCATGCAATTTTCAATGCAAGGTTATCCATAGAGTCTGTGGTACTATAGAAATTAATTTCCCCAAAAATTAATTTTTGTATCATATCACAAAATTCTTAGTACTACAGAAATTAATTTTCACTGCGTAATAAGTGACATATTTTCCTTTTTCATGAGCACAGTAATTGGGATTTTTCTTTTAAGTTGGAGTTAAAAGAATGTACCCCGGTTTTAGGTAACCGGAATTAAATGTTAATTATTCATTCCGGCAGACCTCGCAGGGGATATGTACCTAGGAACAATGCGCTTTGTTTAAAAGGCTGTTTAGAAGCGTATGTGTACACTGATACTCATTCTTCAGGGCGTATGAGTGCATCTGCACGCGCAATTTCCACCGTGAAAATGGAGCGCCATTCACAAGAGATATAGTGCAGTATATTAAATTTTTCTATTTTAATGAAATCACTTCTACTAATTCACGGGTATCAGAGCTGGGTGAAATACTGAGAAAGGGGCCAAAAGTATTGTTGGCGCGACAAAAAAAAGCGACTTTATCAGTTTACTCCGATAAATCATTATTTAGTAGTTCTTTGCGAAATATTAACATCTTTTAATTTCAATTGCCCGTGGAATACCGAAAATATGGAGGATATTTCAAACATATTATGAATTTAATAAGCATTTATTTCTCGTAATATTCTCATGTCGCGAATCTCAATTATTCTCATTTGATTAATCGGATTCTCCTTTCTTGTGCCACATAGAAATTGTTATAATAATAGATAATTAACAGCAGCGACCTTTCCGTGCCACGACTGCAAATTGGATTTAGGTATCGGAGTCCATTAGCACGCGATGTTCGATCGAATTGCTCTATCTCCTGCCTTTTTATCTATTTCCGATATTAAGGCCAATTTGGACGTGGACAACGTCAAATTATACACCTTTTAAACTGCTTTTTACTTAATTATATCTAAGTCTATATTATTTCTCGAATTTATACTTTTTCTCCCAAGTAAATGAAATTTAAATACCTCCCCCAGCATCTTTACATGCATTTCAAATGAAATTATGATCGCAGTAATACATACCTTTCAGTAAGAAATAATTACGACAAACAATTATAACAACCTCACAACTTAACAACTAATCACAATTATCGTTTTTCATTACGCAGCGCAAAAAGAATCTACAATTTCTCTGACAATTAACGGTAACATTACAAATCTTCATATGAATAGTCACGTGCTTTTCCTGGAATAAAAACTTCGTCCGAAAAAGAGTATAAAAATACCTTTTCAAGATCCATAAAAGCCGCCAGTGAGCATTATTTTAGTAGGTCTTGTACTTTCTCGGTTTTCTCATTTTTCCCTGAGAGTCTCGTTCGTGGTCTCCTCAGAGGCGCGCGGAAGCTTTTGATCATTTTATAATCGGTTGTCGACTTATCGGCAGCCTCGATCGCGCTCGTTGGACACGGTCGACTTACAACCGGGGGAGAAGTGGCTTAATAATCCTCTTCTGTGGAGGTGGTCGCGTCCAGAATGACGTTTACGAGGCCGATTCGGATTGGCCCGGAGTGAATCTAGGCACGTTCCTTCGACGATTCGATTAATGATCCTCCGAGAGAAGAATCTAGCAAGGTCCCGCTCGCCGGCGCACTCTTTACGGAAGCACCTTTTGCCTTTAACGGCAAAGAGACGAGCCGAGGCCCCATAAAAGTTCCATGCGTACATGACCTCCCGTCGAATTAGCGCGGGGAATTCTCCGTTCATTGCCGACCCTGGGGAGGTATCGTCGAGCCTGGGGTAAAACGGGGCACCCTCGGCAAGGGCGGGGCCCCGTACAAAGGACCCCCGAAAGAAACCAACCCCTGGGAGGAGTTAGCACCCCGTATATAGCTGGCTATGGGACCCCGTAAAATCAGAATTCGGGGCAACGTCGGCCAGCGCGGAACCCTGACCCTCTCTCGAGAACCCTCAAAAGGGACCATCGCCACTTCTTGCGGCGACCGAGTGTCGGTGGTTAGCCGGCGATAGTGTTCTTTGGGCTCGGAGAAGAATCGATTCCTGGGAACGTCAACTGGAATAGACGTTGGTGCTGTGCAAGGGGGCGAGTCGGCAAGGATTCGCTGCAAACATGTCCCGAAGCTTCCTGGTGGACTCCCTCATAGGGAACAACTCGCCGCCGTCGTATCCGTTGCCTTATTATGGGAATCATCTGCCAAATTACATGTTCAACTTTTTTAACCTGGGGATCGGGTATCAACCCGTGCGACCTGTGCCTCGGCCTCCTGTTTTGCCGGTCCCGGTTCCTCTGAGTCCTCCGGGAATTGTCGGCCTGCCGATTCCTGGACAGAGTCCTCCGTCGCCTCTCAACACCTCGGCTAGTAGACTATCTGGTGAGTTGAGGATATTCAGTTTTTAGGTTTTCCTAAAGTTTTAATGCATGGAAAGTAATGCCTCGTGGAACCAGGTAGGAATGGGCTAGGATGACTAAATGCAAATTCGACAGTGACGGTAGCAACGGATTAGGAGTTTTGCTAACTCTGATTTTATTTTCGGTACGGCGAGTACTGAAGTCGTTTCCGAGTGGGGAAGTATAAGATTTTTAAGCCTTCTTTAAAGGATTCTTAATTTTACCTAATATTTTCAAATTACTTCAATTTAATAGTATGTTTGATGAGCGACGATCAAAGTTCATTATGCAAAATGTCCGGGACGTATAATCTGTGGTACGTCAACCGTAAAATTGATCAATCATGTAACTAATTTATGAAGTAAGCAATAGCCAGGTGTCTCGTTTCATCTTTCCCATTCAAACTGCTCGGTCATGAAGATGCGATGTTTCAGTTTATTTTTTAATATCTGTTATTAGGTCCATTTCGGTACCTCTCAAACTATTGATTTCTCAAGATATACCTATCGAGCGCATTATGTTACGGTTATATGACCCTGAAATAACATAATACGCAACAAAAGTTACTTAAAAGCTACATTGATATCATATAATATCGAACTATTAAAGTCCCGTAACATTGTTCTAAATGTGTCAACACTGCAGATTTATAATATCAACACAACATATGTTATGTTACCGATAAATTATGTTACATTATTCGTTTTTTTACCAATCTTATATAACTGCGCAGAAAATAATAATACAAACTTTACGTGTATGTTACGTAACACGTTACAAAGGCATTTACAAGGATTACATCGGTACCTTATACACTAACTACGTTGGGGGGTAGCAAAGAAATTTGCCGACTGAATTATTCGAATTTAATTTTAGTGATAATTAAAAAAAACGTAGATAACTTCTAAGTAGCTCATTGCAAAATGGGGTTTGACGTTTACATTTTCTTTTCGTTTTCTAGACGTTTCGGCACCGAACGAATCGCCATCCCGCGCTAGTACCCCAACACCACCTCCGAAATCACCGAATTCCATCACCAACAGTTCGAAGAGAATCCGAACAGCTTTCACCAGCACTCAGCTTCTGGAGCTGGAACGCGAATTCGCAGCTAACATGTACCTGTCGCGATTGCGCAGAATCGAGATCGCGACGAACTTGCGGCTTTCGGAAAAACAGGTGAAGATCTGGTTCCAAAATCGCAGGGTGAAGTACAAGAAGGAAGATTTGCCGTCTGGTCAGACCTCGAAGTGTTGTTGCCTGAGGACCTGCGGCAAGAAGAAGGAGGGATGTGGGGAAGACAGTCGCAAATGCGAGGAGGACGACAGGGCGCAGCAAAAGGAGGCCGAAGCACAAAGGAGAACGCAGGATTCCTCGAGCCCCAGGACGAGGATATCGGAAGGAGCAGAACTCTCGTTGGACGTTTCCGCGGCGGCGGATAACCCCGGCTTGCTCACTCCAGAAGTCACACCTGATGGTCGGAAATTCTTTGCGGATGACTCGAGGCCAAGTTCTCAGACTTTCACGCGATTTGTGTATCCGCCACTTCTTCAGGATCCCTGCGACTTGTCGAGGGGCGTGAAAAGACCAGCCTCCGATTTTGCCGAGTTTGACGTCGACAGGAAAAGGCGAGAAAATCTCTGTACTAGTCCTGCGCAGGATGCCACCAGTTTGCCGGTCTTCAGGAACGTCAATTGTACGAAGCACACCGTAGAGCGCATCGTGAACTCTTAGGGGTATTTTGTCATGATCTTCTGCAAATTCTGGAGCTTGTTTGAGGAATTTTTTCTAACTAGTTTGTAGAAGGAATTATGGTGGGTCGAAAGAACGGAAATTAGCTATTAAATCGCGATCAAGGGGCAAGGTGCCGGAAGGTCTACGGAGAATATTCTGTTCAAAGAAATTTGTGGAAGTAATTTTGTAAAAGGTGCGCATACTATGAAGGATTTTATGGTTTATGGACATGCATTAGATGACTTATTAATGAGGAGTGCTGATTTTAAATGTGGACGGGATTGACAATATAGGTAGAACGTGAGTCTGATTTTTCGGATGAGGTTTGATGTAATATGGGAGAAAGGAGGTACGGGGTATTACGCCTTTCCTGTAAATAGTGTATATAATTACAGAACGCTGAATATTTTGAATTTTATACCATGGTTGGGAGAGATTAAGAGAATAAAAGAATTCAATGTGATAAGTTCCTGTCCTATTACCTTATCTACCCTCCACTAGAAAATTAAAACTACAAACTACAAATTATAACTACAGATAATCTTTTTCACGTCTCGCTAAATATTGCTCGTAATATATTTTTTGTAATCACTTGTAAAGACAACTAAATCGATATAAATTCGGGTGTTATTCGAAGTATCTTAGGCATCTGAGAAACACATATAAATATGTGAAATTATTGGAATTAGTAACTTATTCCATTTTGAATCAAAGGGGGCATTGCCCATTTTACATTCGTAAGATTTTATTACACTTAGATGAGAAAATGGATTGCGTTAGAAAGTGGTATGTTTACTATTCTAACCAAGAGGAAATCTCCTGAACGTTCTTCGGGGACAACCCCGTGCAATGTAGGAGGCGTAACATGAATATGCATTGCTTGATGCACGCTCTACCGGGATGCACCGACTGCTTGATGGGTAAAATTCATCAAAACTACATTAAACTTGTTGTCGTTTTACTCTATCCTCTCCATGGATAACAATGTTCCAGATCCATATCGTTGTTAATACTACTTTCCTGCGAAGAAATTGTGAAGAGACGTAAATTATGCATCTAATTCTTGAAACTACATCAATTGGATTCTTTTGAAACTTCACAGGATATCATTCTTTTATGTAAATTCATTAAAGAACATCTGCATACTCGAGTATTTTTAAACAATTGCGCAGGTCATTCGCGTTCTGTATTAGACGAGGAAATTTCCTCCTTACGTTTATATGAAAAATAAAAATTAATTTCAGTAATTATAAGTACACAACATGATGCACATGGGATATATATCTGGCACGGAATGACGTTCCCTCAAGATGTAACAACCTTAAGGTCGGACTTTCGCGGAACTAATTTTTACACCGCGAAAGTTGCTATCGCGTTTCGTGCGAGTTTGCTACGACATTAATTTCCCGAATCACAGCAGAATTAAGGAAAGTATGTAACAATAAGACCCAGCAATGTAAAGCAGGTGTCTTCGTTGGCTCGGAATAACGAATTTCTTTTATTAAGAAAGTTTCTCGGTGCTTTTGAGGACTGGTCGAGAACATCGAGGACGCGTGCACGTATCCTTTATTGGCACGCGGATTCATCTTCCAGTTTCCACGCGGTGATTTCGAAAAAAGCCGAAGAAAAGGAAAAACGAGGAGTCGTAGTCCGCGTTTGGGTTCTAGGGAGCCGGCCCGCGTTATTGGGAGCCAGGCCCGGCAGGCATTATGCTTGACAAACCGGTCGGAAGGTCGTAAATTCTGAAAATTTGTCAAGAGGCCCCACTTTGGGTTAAATTTAAGGTAAAACGTAGTTAATGGCGTTAAAGAGCGGGCCCGACAATGTCGCTCTCGAGGAGCCAACAATGGCACACTTGTGTCACGAAAGACCCAGCGGGCGGCCATCCCTGGTGCCTTTTTCGGCACGACTCGATTCGACTTCGCCCCATTCACCCTGCCGAGAACCAGAGATCCTCCATTCATGGTTTCCCGTCAATGGACGGCGAAGTCGCAGGACCTCCGTAAAAAGAGAGGAAGATTGTCACCTTCGCGACCGGGGACGCCGGTGCGTTTGATACCGGGCCCGTTAAATGCCGTTTAGCGCTTTTCAAAGGCTACCGGCCAAATTCCTTCGAGTATGTTTCCTCCGTCTCGCATTCTCGCGATTGTTGGACTTCCGCGATTCTCACGGTGCGGGATTGTCGAGAGAATGGAACTCGATGGGCCAGCAGGTCCTGGAAAGTCCTGGTGGTGAATGGGCCATTCGATTCTTGCAGCGCTTGGGAATAAGAAAGAACGTTGAGGTTTAATATGATTGATAACGTGAGGACGAATCGCTTTCTTCCAAAGTTGCTTTAGACCCTATTTCATGCATTATTCGATGGGGAAAGTAGAGAACAGTGGAAGATAACGGGAAATTTATCAGCCACGAAGAGTGGAGCTGCACTTGATAGCGAGCCCAATTCCTCGACCCGTCCCTCACCGCCTCACGAGTGTCGAGATCCGCACCCCCAATTGGGAACTTATCCCAATTGATATTCCCGATATCATTGACGACGATAACGCCTAGGCGTTGGCACCAGGAGATCCTAGATTCCCCAAGCCAGTAATTATAACTATCGAATTAAATAAAATTACGTTTATCAATTTCGCAAGGATAACTTAATTCTTCCCACTCAGACGTAACAGTGCATCTTGCCTCTTTGAATGGAGCTCGATGGGGAAGGAGGTCCTAACTTCAAAGAAATTCTAACAATGAATGGGCACCTCGGGTCTTGTAGCATTCGAGTAAAAACGAAACGCTGCTACTTTTTGATACGATCCATAGTATAAATTATGAATAATTATTTTTATGTTACTTCCCGTACTACTATTCCTTTTTATCCTACGCTACTTCATGTATTACCCGAAAGAACATTTATATCATTAAAAGCGGAGATCTAGAGAGAAAATTTTTGACGGGCGAGGCGTTCAATTCTCGATTAATATCGTCCAGCAGTTTCGAAGATCGTAGGGCAAATTTCTTGAATGCGGATTTTTCGGATTTCCGATATCCATGATTGTAAGACTAGTCCCACGAAGCGGAGATTTCGAGAGTGCTTCGTTGAATGGAGCTCGATGGGGTGGGAGGTCCTGACTTCTAAAGAGTCCGGTTTGTGAATAGACATTCCGATTCATGCAATATTTGAGGGTTAGGAAGGAAGCGTGCTGCCCTCTCGGTTGTTTATGTGGACCTAAATCGTGTCTCCCTTCGAAAATCCTGTATACACTGCAGCTCTTTCGAGGAAATTTCGATGAATGCCGGAGGTCGCTCGAATTTACTTCAGATGAGGGATAGTATTTCTTGCAAATCGTGATACTTTGGGGAATCCAATCGCAATTGCCTTTCAAACAGATTCGGAAAACTTTCCAAATATATCGGATTTGTTACCGATAGTAAAAGCAAAGTTTACTCTTTATTGGGACCGGGGAAACGAAGCCACATCCGAGAGGATAGAATATGGTGAAATCGATGTCAGCCAATGAGATTTCCTTCAAACTTCCAGAAACACATGTCATTTTATACAGAAGGCTTCGTGCTCTTGATGTAACGTGGAAATCGAATTCGTAAATAAAATTAAAAATTAATATTCGTTATCACCTTGAATCTCTAAATCGACGACTCGACGAGCTTACACGATGTTAACTATCTAACTGACTTTTATTTTTAAGTGTTAAAGATCCATCCGTCAACATATAAATAATAGGGAGTACATGCGCTAAATTACTGAGGTCACAAAGAATAGCTTTTCTTTTTATATAAAAATATTTTTCATTAAAAAAGTTGAAAGGAATAATTAAGTATTAACTTGTTTATCTCATTACTTAATGAAATAAATAAATTTAATTCTGAAATTAATAAATGAACATTTTCCGCGGTGAACGACAGAAGACTTTGAGATGCCGTCAAAGTATTTCATAATCACGCTTCCGGTTTCGTGTATCATCCTTCCTCGTAGCGGATCACGCTTTCGATGGTGTAGCTTCATGTAGCGTAATTCTCACGTTCAAGAGTAAAATTTACGTGATGAGAAAACGACGCTAGGAGTTATGTACTTCCAAGGCAAGCACAAAACGACCAACTTTTCCGTGTTCTTCAAAGGACTCTCGAAGTCATCTTTCACGAATAACCGCAAAAAAAAAAAAGAGAAGCAAACGATTTTCAGCGAAGACTCTTAAAAAACAGAGGAACCTTAACTTGACTTTATTTCGAATACTCTGCATGAATAAGTCGAGGGATGAACCGTTTCATAAAAACGTTACAACTACGCATAAAGAGTCTTTCTTCCCCTGTTTCACTTCCTCAAACGCCGCGACAGGGAGAGGGTTTCGTTTAACGAGTTTGCTCGTCGCCTTTGCAGGCAGTAAATTCCAAATCATAAAGTCCAAGCTCGTAGTTCGTTTACTTGTTTGCGATCGTTTTACCGAGTGTCTTTACGGTTGGGCATTGATCGCGAGAAACAGCCCCGCGCGTTTCTCGTTCCGTTACCATCGAGCATGTCGTACTGACTCGCACATAAGGATAAACCGATTCAAATAAATACGGGTATTTACTCGATACTTTCATTTTGACCCCAAGTACCTTCGGTATCGATACCCATAGGCTTCGCAACTTACAATTAGTACCGGTGAAGAGTACTCGAATCAAATCGGCTGACGTAAACGAAATAAGCACTCACTTTTTAATTAATTTATATATTATATCTACTCGTACATTAAACTAATTAACAACAGAAACCAATGAATATTGAATATCGTTCGCGACAGCATTCTTCGCCTGTATTATATAATCCTGCATGCTTCGATTACAATCATTTCGGTCTAAAAGGAGAGAAGAAGTGAATAAAGCCGTCAGTCGATGTTAAAAAGTGTATACCATCCTTTAACGGCAGCACTGATCATTAAAAAAAATTCACCGTAGAGCTATGCTTGGAGTAAAGAGACACGGCGCTCAGTCGAGACGCATGAACTTGTCCGAGA